TAAGGGCTCGGTGAAGTTGTCAGCAGGTTTAAAAAAAAATTATTCAGGAGTGCAAAACAATACCTACACTCCCCTAAAAATAAATTTAAAACACAAACACACTGCTGGGTGGAGGTGATGGCAATGAAAGCCCCAGGAGGGGAATACAGCAAAGGTATGAAGGGTGGGAAAGGCATCTGTGTGGGGAGGTGAGAGGAAGTTGGATGACGGGGGGAAAAAACACCACCAGAGAGGGCATCGATGGGGCGGGGTTCATCTCTACACTGGGCTAGATTTGTGATTTCAAAGCATGTCCCCTGAGGTACCTGTATCAGTGTAAGTTTGGTATTTGTTGAAAACACAAATTCCTGAGGCACACCTCAGGCTTACTAAATTGGATCTTTCTGTTGAGAGATATAAGAATCTGTATTTCCCAGAGTGATTTTACACATCCTGACCTCTGAAGAGAACTCTCCCTAGGACAGATAAAACTGTCCCATTGTGTCCAGCTTGGCAGCAGTGTCTGTGAGGCTGCATTGAGCTCACGGAATTTGCTTAGGACATTTGATGGGCAGGACCAAGAGGAGCTGGGATTTGTGAGGCTAGAAGCTTGAATAATTGGAGTGTCTGCTTTAAGAAAAAATTGAAAAATTAGGAATGAAAAACTTCAGTTAAACCATAACTGTGTATTTAGAATGAGAGATGAAAGTATTAATTTTTAAAAGGTGACTTCACAAAATTTAGAAAAGTAATATTGTTAATACTTCACTGCCTCACATATTCCTATAGATTTTAGTTGCAGAGCCTCTGTCTACCTCTTCAAATGACATCTCTGCAGAGAGTGCCAGTGGCAAACAGTTAATAGAAAGATAATTATCTCCTATGGTGGTTTTGACAGGAAATTTTTAATTGATGATTATGATACATAAAGTTTGCAACTTTACATAGAAATACACCTGGTATACATAATCTGAAAATACAAGTGCTCTGATTAATTCTGTTTGCTGTAATTTCTATAAAAAAGAAAACAGTGTTTCTGGCTCCTGCCTCGCAAGCACAAGGTTCCGAGTTTGATCCCCGGTACCAAAAAAAAAAAGAAAAAAATAGAAAACTGTGTAGCATTCATAATTATATGTGATGAATTGGATATTCTTGACAGAAGAGAATTTCTGTTTTGACTAGATGTCAATGAAAATTGAATTCTACAATTAAAATTTTACACAGCTGAAAATTTCCTGTTTCCATTCCCTCTACCACTACCATAGTATTTCTGGTGCTGGCCACTATAAGTCACATTCATCTTGCAAGGTGCCCTTTTGTTCTGGTACCTTCTTGTCATTATGCATGGGGAATTTGTGTTCTAGATGGAAAGAGCAATCCTGGAAGATGCAGCTATACCAGCCAAGCTGGCAAAAAGTCCCTCTTCAGGGAGGTGACTGCGGCCCAAATAAATACCTTGTATAGCTCCTACACTGTATTAGCCCATGATTCATTGTCCTCTTATAGGGCTGCAAGGAGCCTGTGCATGCTCCAAAGCCACCCAATGGAAACTCAGAATAGAAAAAAAAAAATCAGGATTTAACTAGTTAAAATTAAACCAACTGATTTTTTTCCAGTTACAGAGAAATGTTTGACTATGTTCAGGCATGACTGGGGCCCCTTCCAACACCTTGAGAAAAGCCTGTCCAAATGAGGACTTGCAACTTCAGCTTCCTTCCCTGGACAGTAAATTTCTTCTGGAAAGGAACAAGAGAAAATATAGATTAGACGTTGGCTTTCTTCTTTTGTCTTTATCATTTACACATGTTTTGATTTTTTTTTTTTGAGTAGAAAAATTAATGATCTCAGTGTGTCTACATTTTTTCCTTTTTGTGTAAGATTATTGATCACAGATGCGTTCTTTACCTTATATTTGCTGGACAAGGCCTTCTCTGATAACCAGTTGCAGAAAATTGCTTACTCCTGTTCTTTATTGATTTTACAAGTTGGAAACTGGAGGATTTTGTTTCATCTGGTTCATCCTTTCAGTCGCAGCCAATCAGGGTACAGGAGCTTCATGGACTATGAACACGCTGCTACATCATGCAGGAAAGGCTCTTAGTTCTAATCCCTACTCAGCTTTTAATTCACCCTGTGACTTGCATGGGAGATACTGGCCTTGATTATCTCAGCTGGTGAATAATGACATTAGTGAGAATCAATACTTCTTAGAAGCCCAAAGATTCTACAGCATTGCCTCAAAGGTAGCCAGACCCTCATATGTGTTTTGTTTTCCTGCTGCTGTTTTACATATAAAGTTTCTCTTAAGATTTTTGTCTTAAAAGGGTTATTCTGTGGAAAAAAAATGAAAACCGGATTTTAGATGTTTTCTCATGCTTAGAATCATCTGGGCAACTTTTTCTTTTGTTTAACAGCACCAGATTCTACTGATAGAGATCAGAATTTTATGTGCTAAGTTTCTTTTGGATTTAAATATATAGTCAAGGTTGCATGCCATTATTGTAGACCAACACAATACAAGTGTACACTTAGCATTATCTGGGGAGCTTTTATAAAAAATGATTTTGGAATGCTAGACCTGTGATTATTAACCTAAGTGTAAATATTTTCAACAGCTGCAGAAGTGACTGTAATGTACATCTAGGACTGAGAATCCCTACAAAGTGATTACTGCATTCTGTTCTAAAAATCTATGTATGCAAGAAAAATCACAACCATGGTATCCATATCCTTACCCTCTTATATTTATTGAACATATGATTTCAGTAAATGACTATTTGTACCTAATTTATGTAATGATACTATTCATTGAAGCATGTGATAGAGCAAAAGCAACTGGTGTGGTGGCTGTATGATGTTTCCCTACTCTCATTTGTGGTGTATCTGTTTCTCATTCTTGCAGAAGATGTAGAGTGTCATTCATATCCTTCCCCTATCACAATCCCTTTAGCCAGGAACCAGAGCATTATTCTCTAATCTTAATTCAGCTCTTTCTTAAATTGGGAAACTGGAACCAAAAGACTTTGCAGGTAAGAATCAAAGATTCTATGATTATTTTCATGTATTTATATTAGTACGTGTTTGCAGTAATAATGGTTACATTCCTTGTTTGCAGCTGGTGCGTGTACATAACACATCTTAATTCCTTTTTTTACCCTCTTCCTATTTGAGAAAGATCTATCTCCTATTTTCTATTTCAAATGTGATTTAATGGAAGATAAAGGTATAATTTCCTTTGAGTTTAGAAGATATTTTCTAATTCTGATTGATCTTGGTGTATAAAAAGGCCAGTGAATGATGACTCTATTGTGTTCTCATCATCTTCTGACACATCCCTTATCTACAGAAGAAGTGTGAGGAGCTGAGTAATGAATTGAGACATCTCATAGCATAAAGCTTCCTATCTGGGAACCAGTGTTTGTGGAGCCTGAAATGGAAATTTGCAAGAATAACTACAAGAACTTCATGGTGGTGTTGGGCTTGGACTTTTGCTTACTCCCAGACAGCAGTAGAGCCAGCAGTAAATTGAAACTCATTCATTTGCTCATAATTTATAGATTTATTCTTTTACTCACTCTATAAATACATATGGATACTGATTTCAGATTTTGGCATTAAGTACTGTTTGGAGCAAGGCAGATGTGGTTTGCAGCAAGGTGGCCATGGGTTCTATGGGAAATATTCAGATTTTATGTGTACGTTTTGCTGATGCTCTAACAATCTTCTAAACCCCTGAATGATGACCTAATGGCTAAGGTTATGATTTTAGGACCTGCTTTTTGGTTTATCATATTGGTCAGTTTGGCACCACTAATTTAATTGCCTTTGGCTTTGGTGAGAATAAAGAGAGACAGTGTTCCTGTGTGAGAGCCAAATGAAGTAAAAACACTAACATAAAGGTTGTGCAGTAATCTAGATAGAGAAAAGCCACAGGGGCCATCTCACATGGCTCAAGACCCAGTGCGGATGAGGGATACTGCACCCTGCAAACTGTGTGCCAAAGTCCTTGGTACCAAGCTCATGCAACTTCGTTTTAGCAAACCATACTTCATGGTACTTGTTTATTTACAACTTTGTGTGATGGGCATTGTATAGATTTGTTTGGACTTAATTTTAAAATTTGTTTTCACTTTAGAAACTTAAAGGATGATTATCTGGATTTGTGTTGGAAGCTAATTAGTAATGCTACTATAAGGACCATTTTTGTCAACAGCAGGGATTTAGGAAAATTATTTTCAAGAAGATTGACGTATTATCTGAGATTGATAAATATTTTTATAATTTATCTCAATGTTTAACTACTTCCTTTTCTTGTCACCCTATAAGCTCCAAAGCATGTGCACATTTTACTTGACTTAGACCTCCCTATTTACTAGTGATTAGAATTGCCTGATACAAGGACCCACATGGAGGGTAGTGGGGGATTTTAATAGACTGTCACTTGTTGAAGATTCCCAGTTCAAATGAGGCTCAGCTATGGGTCAGTCCGTTTTTAACTCTGAAGAAGAAGAAAGGTCACAATGGCTACTTTTGCTGCAAACTGTCTGGCAATACCAAATGTTTGCATTTGAATTTGTTTTTAATTGTCTCCTAGTAAAATATCCAAATAATGTCTTTATTCTAAGAAGATGAACTTCTAGAGTTAATTTTTTTCAGAGTAATTCCAAGTTTTACTTTTAGGTCTTTGAGTTTCTGAAAAGAAAGCACGTTGGAATTCTGAGTCATGGGGAGAAGGGCTTCCTCGGAGTCCCTTGCCTCCTGGCGCATGTGCAGATGTAGGTGTCTCAGGACCCAGCGGGAAAGAAGGCTGTGTGAAATAGGACTAAAGCAAGCATCCAGTGGAGCCAGTTTTGTCTAGAGGAGTAGAGGAGGCAGTTTTAGAGCTGTCAGAAGTCACCCTTATCTCTTTATCAGTTGATTCTCTCTCTCTCTCTCTCTCTCTCTCTCTCTCTCTCTCTCTCTCTCTCTCTCTCTCTCAGCAGTTTAATGTTAGTGCTTCTCTCTCACCTTGTTTGTTGCAGATGCCTCAGGAACAGTACACACACCACCGGAGCACCATGCCCAGCTCTGAGGGGCCACAGGTATACAAAGTGGGGATTTACGGCTGGCGGAAACGATGCCTGTATTTCTTTGTCCTGCTCCTCATGATTTTAATATTGGTGAACCTGGCCATGACCATCTGGATTCTCAAAGTCATGAACTTCACAATTGTAAGTAAAACCACACGCATTTGTTTTGCACTCCTTGGGGGCAGGGGAAGCATGAAGCAAGATGATGCAGGAATGTGAAAACGGGATGGTAGCAGGATTCAAAATATCCTGCAAGTTGGTATTGGGATTAAAAAGAATTTCTATTCAGGTTGGATATGGATGTGAATTTCTGTCTAAATGTAATTCTTCTGAGGCTAATAATTCAATTTAGAGGCATTTCTCTTTAAGTTCTTCTATATTCTTTCTCTTCATTTTGATAACTGCATTATTTGTCCTGTGGCTTTAAAGCACTTTGAGTAAATATTGCAGGAATAAATATGGAATAAATTACAAGTGTTTTACCTAACTTCAGGAGTGATTATAAAAGGTCTCGTAAAGTGAGAGCTGAAAAAAATCTGAGCACAATAAAGCTTTGAGCATTATCTAAGAACTTTAGCTGTCTAGTTATTCCTCCTTTCCAACAATATGATTAACTGAGAATCCCCTCAGTTTCTAGAGGAACAGTTCTGCCACTACATGGGTAAGATGGAAATGAGAGAAATCAAGCTGTTTCATTGTTTAGGAATCTATTTTTCTTTTAAAAAAATTCTTGCTGTCAGTATTTAGAATCCGTGTACAGATTTTGCATTTACTTATTGAAGTTCAGATGGAAAGTATATCATGGCAAAATAACTTGTCATTACTATGAGGTTTTCTAGTGATTGTAGTTAACGTGAGCAAGGAAAGTAATTTAACTTACAAATGAGAAGTTATGGCCCTGAGTAACCTCTTCCTGTCCTGATGTCAAAAGTTAATAATTAGACAGTTGATAGAAGCATCTCTTATTTGATAAATTTGTTATGGTTACATTTCTTTAACAATGGGATTTTCATGATAATAGGTATTTGTTTTTGTTAATTATATGGTTCATTTTTATGCTTGACACCCTGTACTTCCAGGCCTTAGTCCAGGCAGTTCCTTGTGCTTGGACTGCTCTTCTGTTTTCCCTACGTGGAAAACCCCTCCTTGATATTACATGTCTACACTTAAGTACCTTTTTTTGCCATTAATGCTCCATATAAGTTTTACACTCGTTTCCTTCCCAGAGAGATGGAACTTCATCCTCTCCTCATGGTAGGGCTTACTGATGCGTGGTTTAAGTAGGTGTTTAAAAGCCGAGATTAGTGGCCAGGAATTTAGCTCAGTGGTTTAGCCACCTATTGCGCAAGTGCAAGGACCCGAGTTCGATCACTGGTACAAAAAAAACCCCCAAGGTTAGAAATACTGCTTCAGACGTTGGAATGGGTCACTTCTTGATACTTGTGGTTAAAGCTAGAAAACTATTAAATAAAAAAAAAAAAATGAAAAGTTAATGTTACAGATTTCTATCTTGGGGAAAAAGTTGATTTGCTTCAACATATATGGAAAAGCTTTTGGAATTCACTATCACCTTTGAAAGATTGAGTTATGATTGAAAAATACAGTGAATGTTTATATTTTTTAGTTTATAATAGTAAAAGACAGATTATCATTAATCCACCTCCAAATCTTCCCCTCACTTTGAACACATTTATGCATCATTCTTGGCACTTTTTGAAGCACTTATGGAAGTCTTCAGTAATATTGTCGTGGCTGCCTCAATGTCCTGAATCTATTGAAAACATTTACCTTTCGTGGTCAGTTTGACTTTGGAAAAGAGCTAGAAGTTGCACAGTGCCGTATCTGTTTGCTTTTCCAAGCCCACCTATCCATTGGATGGGACTCAGCAGCAGCATTCAACATATTTTTTATTTCAACCCTTTAAGACATTCAAAAAAAAGGGCTTCCAGAACTGCTTCAAAATGTGCCAAGAATGATGAGATAAGTGTGGTCAAAGTGAGGAGGAATATTTTGAGAGATATTATTGGCAGTGTGTCTTTTACTATAATTTTTAAAATTTAAACATTTACCATATATTTTGATCACACCTCCTTCCTATACTGGTCAGTTTCCATGGAGATGTTTGGAGTCCAAGGTAATAGCTTGCACAATTTCTTAATTGGACTTAATAAATACCTTTTGGACTTAGACTTTATAGACAAGTGGAATTCAGAGACACGTTTAAGCAGGAAAGAGTGACACGAACAGATTTGTTGTCTGGAAAGCTTGGCTGCAAGGAGGCCAAAGAATGAGGAAAGTTCTTGCATCTTAGAGGTCTGAAAGGGCCCTTGGGTCCATTTGGTCTTAAGTCCAAGTAACCACAATTGCCTCCTATTGTACATGTTTTATAATGTTCTTAAATTGAATTTTGAAAACTTATAAAGTAGAAAAGCTTTAGTATTGGAATATAAAACAGGTGAAGCTTGGACAGTAGCTAAGATGGAATTGACACTTTGAATACAACTGTAGTTGTTGGATGTAGGAATTGAGAGATGAGAAAACATTTTGAGAGAATTCCAGTTTTTGGCTGGTAAGACAATTGGATGGTGAGGTCCAAAACATAAGATCAAGTTTGTTACCTTCTTACTTGAATTTGACTATGTGTCCCTCTAACCTCTTGCTTAATTAAGAGCAATCCTTTATTCTGTCTATTTTTGTAATTTTTTCTAGTCTCTTTATTTTTGTGATTTTTGTCATTTATATAATCAGAAATTTTAGAAGCAGGAGGGATGAAAAATAGCTCCATCCTTGATAACTGAAAATATACAAAGACAGCTTCCAGAATGCATCTTAGCTGGCAAGCTCCGTAGAAGTTTATGTAAATGTATGTGGAGAGCCACTTAGCTCTTGAGTGTATGTGAGCTTGGGGTGTGATGTGACATTACGGTAATAATCTATACGAAATCAACCATTTCCTGTAGTTAACAAAATTGATTGCCAAAGTTGAGAGTCCTTAAAGCTTTACCAAACCAAGTACTTACTGAGGTGAGAATAATGTCATTATTAACCATAATTGGTGCTTTATGACAGTAATGCATTTGAGGAAATAGAACTGAAGTGTTGGAAAATTGGTCTCACCCTACAAGTTAAAAGCATATTTTTCCATCCATCACACCATAAAACATATTCTTTTAGAATTATAATTCTATACCACAAATAATAATTTACTGACAATGAAGATCTTGCAAAAAGAATGAGGTATTAATGTTATGCTGCAGAATGTAAGATGAAAGAGCAAAGAAAATAAAAGTAGGAGCTAAGCATTTTATGTAGCAATTTTAAACGTCCATAGAATCAGTGAATATTTTATATGCTGGGATTGTTTCATAAATTGGGATTTGGAAAAGTTTACACCATAATCAAACCCCTGAGTAACAATGAACCAGAAAAGTGGTATCAACTGAAAGTTTCTGAGGACCTCAAAAGTTATACACAATTAGGTATCTAGAATTTTATTTGTTGTCGGATTTGCATTTCTATGTCATCTTTTGAGGTGTATGCTGGAAAAGCCCTCCCAATATGGCATTGTGGATGTACAACCAAAATTTAGTTTTGTTTTGGAGGCAAATACGAAGAAAATTATTTTGCTTTTCTCTGCTCTTAGCAGAATATTTTGATGTTCATTGCTAGATGGGAGAGGAAGGTTATACTTTTTGACTTTGCTCCACATTGAAGAGCATGGGCTTCATGATACTACAAATGCAGCAAAATCAACTTCGTATAGTTTATCACATGCTGTGCTATATGGAGGAACTAATATTTGTGTGTCATCTGTGTGAGATAGTACATATAACACTTCAAATCTCTCTAGTTAAATTTTAAAACAACTGTACAATTTAGGTATTACTGACCTGCTTATACTGAAAGAAAACCCAAGGCCCACAGCAGTTGAATGACTCGCTGAAAGACACTGCTTGTCAGTGAAAAGCAGGTGTTTGATGTCAAAACTCAACCTTTCCACTACATTGTTATCAATTACTATATGATTACTGTAATGATCTGGCTCTTCAAGAAAATTTGGAAGCTAACATAATGGTTCATTGTCTTCATTGCTCATCCTATGTTATGAGTAATGACGGCCCCATCCATCTAAGGTATCAGTGATGTTTTCTGTGAATGTTCAGCTTCTGGCTCACTTCTCTGAGCACTGTAAGTCCTCTCCTTGTATTGTCTTCATCTTTCCTTTGTCCCCTTGTGTTAGTGTAAGCATTTAACGCACATGTAGTAGTGAAATGAGTCATGGGCTAGTGTGGAGTTTCAGTGAGTTGATTCATGCTAAGTATACATTCATTCCTTTATTCATTCATTTAGAGAGAGGGTCTCACTATGTAGTTCAGGCTGACCTTGAACTCACTATGTAGCTCAGAATGAATGGCTTAGAATGAAAGGCAATCCTCCTGCCTCAGCTTCTGAAGTGCTAGGATTACAGGCATGGGCCACCATGCCTGGCATGCTAAGCATTTATAGTAGCATCTGACACATGCGCAGGCAGACTCAGTGTAAACAGCAGAAAGTCACAAGAGATCCTACACAGCACTGTAGTGAATGAAATCTCTGCCTCTGCAGAGAGATGTCCTAAAGTGAATTCTTGGTTTTGCCCCTTATTTTTTGGTGTTTGACAAATTCCTCAACTTTTCTGTGCTACCGTTTTCTGATAGTAATAGCAGGGCCTTTCTCAGAAGACTGTTGTGAATATTAGAGGAGGTGATGAATGCACAGTGTTGTGAACAGAATGTGGCATACAGTGTGTGCTTTATATAGTGTTTGATACCATCATCATTGTCATTATCATCGTGACTGTTTTTTTTGCAAGCTCAGTCTGTGCCAGACGTTGTGGTGTTTGTTTGAAAATATTATCTGTGTTAAATTGTACCAAGGTAGATACCATTATGATCCCATCCTTACAAGGGAGAGAGAGGTTCAATAACTTGATTTGGGTTCCCAGAATTATAAAGTGGAAGGGTGGAAATCTGAACCCACGTAGTCTGACTCTGGATCCTAGATGATGAGAAAGTTTGACATATTGATGAACATCACAAAACGATCTAGAATAAGTGTCATGGATCGCATACCTAACCTGGCAGGCGATGGACTCCCTCCCC